TTCGGTTGGGTTTGTTTCCGGGCTTTGGACCCGGTCCAAGGAGAAATAAAAGGGGGAGGGTAGCCCATCACTCAAAAAAAGAGAAACAAGGATCGGATCGACTTTAGCCCGACTTCAACCCAAGGCAAAAGAAAGACAAGAAAAAAAAGGTCACCTGACCCACACCCTTTCTAAAAAAAACAGAGACGCCCAATCCGATGCTAAAAAACAAAAAAAGGAAAAAGGGCAACAAAAAAAAATAAGCAAAAGGAAGAAAAAAGAAAGGAAAAAAAGGGGATGGGTAAAAAAAAAAAGAGTAAATGTTATGGGTTAATATTTTAGGCATAGGATGATTTTTTTTTTTTTACTTTTATTATTCATTCATTCTTTAACCTATTTATATATGATGATTTTTTTCTTCTTTAATTATTTATTTATTTATTTTAGCTTCGTTTATTTTTATTTTCTTGTCGTTTTTAGGTATTAATTTAGATTCGTTATTTTTTTTTTTAACATGTGTTGCTAGAAAAAAATCTTGACAAAGTTTCCTATCCGATAGGGACCGACGTTATAAAAAAAATACCTAAAAATTTTGGTGAAGTCTCCTACATGGTAGGGACCGACATCGTAAAAAAATAATAAATAATAATAATAAATAAATAAATAAATTTGACGAAGTCTCCTATCTAATAGGGACCGACGTCACCAAATTCAAAATTTTCGATGAAGCCTCCTATTTGATAGAGGTGACATCATCAAAATCACCTTTTAATTAAAACATCCTCCGACACATCGGTTGTGTCACGGCTTTTAGTGGATCCGATGTTTGAATCGACGTGTCACCCAACGAAGGGGATCGACGATCGTTTCAATATGATGCCACGCCCAAAACTAAAAATTCACTTAGTCTAAAAGAAAATAGGAGATTAAAATTTAGAAAATAGCTTGACATGGATTTTAGGAGATAATTTAGAGCTAAACCGTACATGGTACCTTCTTTCGAAAATGGTGCTTTTAGGTGATTAAATATCTTCCTAAAAGCGTAACCAACTCCTTACCTTAGGAATCTCCGAATCGGTGCTACTTTTAGGTTCCTAGTTTCTTAAATACTAGGTGGCGACTCCAAACACGGTAAATAAATATGTAAATATTCAACCTAATTTTAGATATTTTCGAGGAGTCTCGTCCGACGTCGGGTAGCGACAATATCGATGGCCATACCCATTTATCAACCCAATCAAATCTCCTAAGTCCAGCCAAACCATCGACTACCACCATCATCGAACTAATCATCCTCCTCCCAAGAATGATTCCCCCAGAAGTCACGGCAAAAAATCATCAAAAAATAGCCTAATTAACGACGATCCTTTTTCCGACATGTTTTATGTAACCCCGTAAAATTGGCCAATCAAGGCCAAATTGGACATCTTAAACACCATAAAAACACTTCTTACAACCTTCACTAGTCGATTGGTTCCCTCAAAGTCCTCTAATATTACCAAAATCTTCATCGGGAAGAAAGAAAGGAATGGCTGAAACTTTAAAGTCATCGATCTCCCTCCTCCATCAATGACGACTCATGCTACCACCACAAATAGGTAGAGTAATCATCCCTCTATTTTGCGAGGCCCTTCACATGCCTAGATTTGGCCGAAGCGAGTAGTCATGGCTAGACAATGACAAGCACATGTAACACAAACACTAGAGGTATTTTTATAATTTTTATATATAGGGGTATTTTGGTTATTTCATAACTAACAAGAAGCATGTTAGTCATCATACAAAAGTCTTTTCAACACCAATAAATAGTTTCTTCCTTCTTCTCGATTGATCGAAATAATTAGTTTTCATCGAGATAGAAGAATGTTAAATTAATCCAAGAGAAGGACTCATCATATTTTCACGAGCATTTACATAACTTTTAAAAAGACCTAGATTGTTTAAAATGATAAATAAATAATGTAAATGTTATATTTTTGGATGATTGAGCGGTCAAATGCTCTATCCGATTATACTTGAGATTTTTGTTTATTGTCTACTTGTTGAAATGTAACTATCGGTGCTCGCATCTTCTAAATCAATTGATATACCTGTTCATTTACTAAAATGTAGCTATTGATGACTTTCTACTTGTGTAGTCAAAGCTATTTGTAGTTTCCAAACTTGTTGTTTGTTTTTCTAAATTAAAGTTATCGGTGGCTTATTATTTATATGTTCAAAGTCGCCTACGATTTTTAAATCAATTTATATGCCCGTTTATTTGTCAAAATATAGTTATCGATGGCTTTCTACTTGTGTGGTCAAAGCTACATGTGGTTTCCAAATCAATTTATTTTTTATTTATTTGTATGAATTGAAGTTATCGGTGGCTTTCTACTTATATGGTCAAAGTTACCTATAACTTTCAAGTCAATTTACAGTGCTTGTTTGTTTTTCTAGAATGTAGTCGTTGGTGGTTTCCTATCTATGTGACAAAATTGTTGGTACCTTTTAAACCAATTTTATTTAATTTTTGATTACTAGAATGAATCTATCGGTGACTTCCCATTTATATAATAAAGCATCTAGTGGTTTTGAAGTTATTTTATTTATTTCCTACTTGTTCGAAATGAATTCATCGGTAGCTTCTCCTTATATGATGAAGTTTTTTATGGCTTTCAACTCAATTATTTGTTCCTTAATTGAGTGAAATGAAGTTATTGATGACTTTTCAATTATGTGACAAATTGTTAGTAACTTCAAAGTCATTGATAGCTTTCCACCTATGTGAGCATTGTTAGTAACTTACCGTTCATGTCAATAAAGGCTATCAATCTTTAGAAACTCATATATTTGTCGATATAGGCATTGTTCGCTAAAGATTAGCCAAAATTTCAACCTTCTCCACTTTTTTCCATTAGGTATGGATATCAACCTCGGACTAGCTCGAAACCTATCATTCTATCCCGACTTAATAAATTTGTTGAAATAGATATAAAAATATAATATAGTAAAACTAGACTTTTATTTTCACATATAAACAATGCAACCTACCTTAGGTAGGATGGGATGACAGATGATGTTATGTATTCTCCATACATAATCGATCCCTTACCTAAATATCTATGTAGACCAATATATTTAGGATTTCTTAGTTTTCTCTAATGAGCTAGATAACGACTCATGTTCTCGCTCGTTCCCCCATAGGCCCCAATCAACACTGATGATAGGGGTAGTATTTCTTCAAGTTCCTCAAAGTGAGGAGGACCTTTTATTGATAGGGGCGGTTTACAAATGCCTCCACTTAAATAGCTGTAAACACCTTTGTCTAGGTTGCATTCAGATGAGAGGTGTGGAGATTAAGAAACACAAGGCAATTGTATACAAACTTGTGCATGCGAATGGTGACTTTTTCTTCTCCGATCTATTAATTGGTCTCGAGAATCAAGAATGTGTGTCCGCAGTGGCTATTACTTCCTCCACCCTAATATGGCTTTTGACCAACTTTTTTACCTTGTACAAGTTTCGATTGGGAAGGGCATAGATTTTCTTCCACACAAAAGTATTGCTGACTCTTTCAACGAGGCCTCCGTAGCTACCTGTTCCAACAGATCATCCTCTTTTAAAATCTCTTCATGAAATCCAGAAAAATGTACTCGAGTGCTTTTTTTCGTCTTTTATTATGGACAAAAGATTAACCAAATTCTTTTTGACAGGGATGCTCGTGAAGAATCAAGGTTGCTCTTTTTTTCTTGTTATGTGATAGAGAAAAGATCAACCAAAATTAATTTGACAAGGATGCTCATGAAGAATCAAGCTTTAGCTTAGAATTGAGGTCCTTGAAGTTTAGGATAGACTCAGGATCTAGGTTGTTTTACCACTTCTTAACAATACCACAAAAGGTAGCGGGAAACACTTAGCATATGGCATTTGTCCCATACAACACAAGCACGAGGATTCTCCTCACGTTTTGCATATGTTTTCGTGGATCAGTGTAACTGTTATACATATCTAAAGTCATCCTACTCGAGTGATACTTGGAACTTGTGCTTAAGCTCTGGGCGGTTTGTAAATGATCAAAAAGAGATTTCAAGCTTCTTTTCTACACAGTGGTGCTTGAGCTCTGTGCTTGCATGCGACGTTTTTTTTATTATTATTATTATTATTATTATGTAGAGCATTAATGGTGCTTTCCTTAGTACCTTCTGATAGCACTGTGTGTTTTCTTAGCGTCATGGTGATATTTGAATCTTTCTTTCTTCTCCTTTTTCCTTCGATACCTTTGAGTTATTGGTTCTTTTTATGTGCGATGTGCGCAGCTTCTCTAAAGTTTTGGGGGATGTATAGTGACCTCTTTCCTTATTTTTGGCACTAGCATGCTCGTTTTGTGCCTCATCGATCTGGCATATACATGGGTCTCATGGATTCCTGAAAGGAGAAGATAAGGCTCCTTGTGTGTGTGTGATATTAAATCTCAAGTTTTATATATATGTTTTGGTGGTGCTGTTGACTAGGATTTGTGAGATTTTTTTTTTTTTCTTTTTTGAGTGATGATATTAAGATTAGACAATTTAGTATTAGTATTTGTTGAAAAATCAAATTAATTGCACAATTATTATTATTAAACACGAACTCATATAATAAAACTAATTGTCATTTGATTTGATAATATTAGTATTTAAATTAATTGCACAAGTATTATTCTCAGATACAAAACAGTATAACAAAGCCAACTTTAATTTCAACATAATTATTTTACAACACAAATCGATCGTCATATACTAAGTATGCTCTTTCCATCTCTTTTATTCTTTATATACATATACACTCAATTCAGTATTTTTTTTTTAAAAAAAAAAAGAATAAATATCCACTCCTTTTTAATTGCAAATAATGTTTATATTTTTTATCGTTCATTATTAAAATTTTATTATATATAAATTAGATTTTTTTAGTGTTATCCACACAATATTAAAAGTGAATGTCTAGTTAACTAGGAACCTATAAACAAATTCATTAAAATAAAAGAAAACGCTGTTCACCTTTGCTTGCAAGCACCTGGAAATATCTTTATGCTCAGTAACTTTTTGACCGCATTTCCTTTCCATCACCTGGAAGGCCAATATATTTATTTGGCTCAATCGGTACCGATATCCCCCTCCTAATAAGAGGTCTCGGGGTCGAAGCTTGCATTTTTAAATGGAACTTGAATACTGTTATCTAATGGTATTATTCTTTTCTATGGCTTTCAAGTCTACAAAAGATAATGGATTTTCCTGTTTTTGATAGACCAATGATCGGCTGCTCTGGATCTGGCTAATTTAAACATCCTGCACACAGACCTAGCAAAGCAACACCAATATTAACTGGCTATGGCTTATGATATCATGAACAAAATTTGATACAGGATAATCATTTATGTGTAAACGAACATTAGTTAAATACAGACGGCCTCCCTCAGTAATATCCAAAACAAAATGAATACTACATAGTCTGCATTTCGACTCTCATTCTGTGGTACCTAAAATTACATTTGCAACAGGGTTTCTGTAATTTACAAGGCTTTACATTGGCTAGTAGGGACTACAAGCAAAGGGCACAAACAAGAAACTCGTAGCATAAGGAAAAGTTAGTCTTGAGTATCAGAAACGTGCCAGACTATGAAGGCAACATATTGCTACCTCGTTATGTATATGCAGAACTAGAGCCAGTTTGGGGCAACCTTAGTTGACGTTGTTTTTGAAGATGGATCATCTGAAACCTTGGCTAGCGACCGATACTGCAATTTTACACTCTCTGCATTGTCCAATGTCTTCACAACATACCTGTAAATGACTCTGTATTAGTTAAAAGGATCACTATAGTTTCATACCCAACACACGTATGTGATGCTGAAATCTTAACTCAGAAAGATTTCAATCCCAGTTACTTGAGGTTGAGCTTGCTCATAAAGCTTTCATACCATTTAAGCTCTCTCTATCCATTACTGTATTCATCATCACATCTAAGATCCAAAGGTATTCACTCATTTACAGTGTTAATTCACAGTATTAACTCATCAGCAACAGAGTTTGTATCAATGTATCCCCATATGCATATATGACGGCCAATAAATTCCTATATAACCAATGTATAGATGTCTAATAACACTTGTTAATCACATAAAATAAACACAAAAAAATGCAATAATTTGCCAGGAAAAAAAAAAAAAAAAACAATGGACACCAACATAGAATCGGCTTGGGCAATGTACCAAACCTTACAATATGCAAAAATTGATAGTAAGAAAAGCAAGAAAGTGACCAACCATCCATTTAAGCATTGTGTTGTCACAACAGCCTCCCGTCCAACAAACCGCTGAGGAGTCCTTTTGTTTCCCTGAATATTTCCTTACATATTGTTAGTTTAAATGATTAATATACAAGGCCTACAGAAAAACTTGGAAGCTTTGCTAAACAACCTTTATAATAACCCGGTCTGTCACAGCAAATGGGAACTGTACACCTCTACCCCTTGGTGGATCCATGACCGCTGAATCACCATAACCACCTTTTTCCTATATGAGAGAATAATCAATGAATAAAGTGATTTTAGAAAAAACTATTAATAGTTGTGCAAGTTGAAGGCCAACTGATGCATTCTAAAGCCAAATGGTTGTCAAGGAAACCAATAGCAAAAGAAAAAAAAATCTCGAGAGCAGACAATTAGAATGAAAAAGAATACTGAAAGAAACCATCAAAGTGGCAGGTATTTATGAATCTCAGGTGAATGACAGGGTTTTATCAAATTTCAGACAGGAGACAGGGTTTTATAAAATTTCAATCCATTGGCTTGCCAACGGTGAAGACTTTCTCATTTAAAAGGAACAATAAGAATCACTTTCATAAATTTTCTTCCAGTTTAGGTAGACCCATGAGCAGTTAAGCAAGACTGCAATAAAAAGGAAAGTTACGCATTGTTATGCAGTCTGCTCCTATACTATCAAAGACTGTTAAGAAAATTATGTTAAAAGGAAACCCAGGGCATGAAGAAAGCAAACCTGATCAAACCTCTCTCTCCTCCTTTTAGATGAGCGATAAAATTGTAACTCCTCTTCCCGGCGAAATGCCTGCACGGCAGCTCTGAGAGCTGTACAGACACCAGCAAAAGGAACAATTAAAAAAACATAAACAAAGGAAACACAAGCTGTGATGCACTTGTCATAGTTCTATTTATCATTGTGACTATAATATATCTTGCTGCTACTTTATAAATACAAAGCCTGCTCTTTCTTCTCATGGGAAGCATGATCATAAAATCCTACGACCTTCTACAAGGACAACAAATTTACTACTTACAGAGGTTGGGAGCTATTGAGTCGTCAGAAATTGACTGAGAACAACTGTAGCAAACTTTCTGAAAATGCAAGGCATAAAAATTAAATCAAAATCATATTTTTACAACTGTAAAAACTTTTTAGAGATAGCGGTAGAGAGAGATCAGACTAAAAAACAACTGTAAATTTCTAAAATAACATGGTTCATTGAAAGTGGGCAATTAGTACAGAAGAAACTAAATACAACCATAGAAAACAATAGAAAACCATAGCATCTACAAACATGCATTAACATTAAGAAATAACAAAATGTAAAAGTTCAAATAATGAATTACAAGAATAGATAAGTGTATAAGATAGAAATTGACAAATTACAAGGACCAAATGTGCAAGTAGAGGCACTTAAAAGGCAGTGCTTATGTTGGAGCCTCAACGGAGCCAAAATCACTTTTTGATATGGGCATATGCAGATAATACTTCCAAAGGAAACTTTACACTTAGAATGACTAATGCAGGAGGCCTTTCAGAAGCAGCTTGAAGCTTGGTAGCAAATTTAAAGTTACTCAGCAGTTAAATTGCATTCTTTGAGGCACACAAATAGACACAGCTCGAAACCGCCACACACAACCCACCCAATCCCCCCCCCCCCCCAACACCCCGCCCATTTCTTTTCTCGCACTCTCTTTGATCTGGTACTTTGTCAGTAAGAGACATTATTCTAATCATCCTATAACAGAGATTTGCAATGAATAATTTCAAAATCCATTCATTTGAGAACTAACCATTCTGATAACCTGCTGCATTCCACCACCTCCAAAGGAATGCCCACAAGGCAATATCATTGCATCATCCATTAAAGCTCCCCTGAATCCAGAAACTAATATAAATTCATAGCACAAGTAAAAACACCACCAGCAACGTACCTACTAGTAGAATTAAAAAAAAAAAATACCAAAATGGAGCGAGTCACGAATGATACACCTTTAGCATTCAAAAGTTATCATAACTAACTACTGATACGGACACAAATTTTCCTTGTCATGGCAAGCACATAAGTTTGACATACAATCATAGAAATGAAAAAAAGAAAAATAAAAAAGAAATCCACAATCAATCTTAATAACTTACGTAACAGGGTCTGATAAAATAGCCCTCAAAGACTCTCCAGACTCACTTAAAAACGATGAAACCTCCTTCCTTCCACTAAATCCGCAACCATTCTCCACACTCATATCCTTTCCACTACCACCACCAGACCCCTCTGTTCCCTGCAAATACTGTGAATAATACATCTCCCCATCGGCTTCCGCTATTGTCACCGCATTATTCCCTGTCTGCCCCATACCACCTCCACCACCACTAATTCCATCTTTCATCACTTCCCCACTAATCCCTAAACAAACAAGCACAAATAACAGCAATAAATTATAAAAAAAAAAAAAACATAATTGGAAGTAAAGAAGGCTTAAAAAAAACAGAGAGAGAAACTTTCTTTCCACTTACCAAAAGAAGAAGAAAGATGCTTGGGCTTTGCATTTCCATTTCCAATTTTATCCAAATTAACACTATTATTAGCATTATTAATAGTTCCAGTACAGTTATTATTGTTACAGTTAGTGCTTTTGCTGTTACAATCAATAGCAGCAACAAGCACATCAACTCCATTCTCGTGATCACCATCACCATCACCACCGTCGACGTCATCAACATCCTCATCATCGTCCTCTTCATCATCTTCATCATCCTCTCCGTCGGTATCATCTCCACTCGTTCCTTGCGGTTCCCTCTGATAAATACTCCTTGGGAAATCCTGGTTGTGGTGGTGGTTGTGAGAGGGAAAGTAACGGTCGGAGCCGGCGGTGGAAGTGGCAGTGGAAGAGAATAGCTTGTTGTCGTCGATAAAACCGGTGAGTTCTCGAGTTTTGGGATCCCCGACTCGGCGTTGTTGCTGTTGCTGCTGCTGTTGCTGAGGAGGTGGTCCAGTGCAATTGAAACGTAATGGATCGTCTTGGAAGAGGAGTTGTGAATTTATGCCATTTTGTGGAGATACTAAGGACATGTCCTCGGTTGACATTTTTCTTCCTTTCGATTTACATGGAAATCAAACCCTAATTTGAAGAAATTTGGGGATTTTTTGCATGCGAGAGAAAGAAATTGATTTACACTAGAAGTAGAAAAGGAATGGAATCTAATTCCAAACACAGATGGTTACAGAAACGGTAGCGTTTTCAAGATACTGGTGTGGACCCCATGATTGCCCCTTCGAGAGAAAGGATAAGCAGCTTCATTCTTGTTCCTATAGATTCAACATTGTTCCACTCTACTCCCATAGTTCAGCATTTCACAATTTTAATTTACAGGAAGTTTCACTGGTAGACCCTTTCATTGTTCGGGCAGTAACTGACAGACAAGCTCATAACTCGATTGTTGATCCATATTTTCAATCTGATCTAGCCCAACTCTAAACTAGCCTTCTCTTTCCCTTTCTATCTTAACTTTTTTCTTTTCCCACTCTACGACAAACCATCAACTTTCTTTTTTCAAGGACCTTCGAGTTGTTTTTTTCTTTTTGAAATGAAAGAGATAATAAGTCGTCACAAATCATGACAGGAAGTTGCAAGAAGAAATAAAAGATTGGTAAGAAGAGAATTGGTGGAAAGATCTCATAAGAACCATTTTCTATTTATTTCTATCTTGATGCATTTATAATATTCGTCTTGTACACAAATTTATCAATCAATTAAGATTGTTAATTATTTGCAGTGGTTCGTTTTTATCGTGCCCCTTGTGTAAAACATGAAAAGACTCTCAATATCTTTCTTAATGAATTTATATTAACTTTTTACATTCTTTCTTTAGGTTTATTTGCTTTTCTTCGGTTGGAACATAGAAGTGACTACAAATGAAAACTCATCCCTTTCAAGTTTTTTTTTTTTTTTCAATTGTTTAAAGGCTTGAGGCTCGTCTTGGGTGGAGCAAAGGCTTTTTTAAAAATTAAAAATTAAAAATTAAAAAATCAATCAAACCTTATCTAGGCCTGGATCTGCCTATTGTTACTTGAGTTTGATTGAAAAATGATTCGATAAAATACTCATTCAACCTCAATCATTTGATAAATAAATCGAGTTTGATTGAAAAATAATTTGATAAAATACTAATTTAACCTCAATCATTTAATAAATAAATCAAGTTTGATCATAATTTTTAAACTTTATCATCTTCATCTCCATAACCAGAATTAACAATTTACTACTAGGCTCGAAATATTCATAAACATAAAATATATTTTCAATAAAATAAAAATAAAATATTTTTGTAATAAAATAAAATATTTTTATCATATGGCAAATGCAAATTAACTAGACATAAGTTGAAGTACTAAATAATTTTAACATCTTAATTAAAGTTAACATATAGTAATGAGATAAAATAATTTTAAAAACTAATTATATTAAAAAAGTCATATTTATTTATTTTTTCTTGTGAACAATTTTGAACTCGATTGAATTTTGTTTTGTGCTTAAAAAAACATATTTGAATGTTATTTGGACAATATGATACTTGAATTCGATTTAATTTAGATGAAAATTTTTTTTATATAGTGATATTCAACTCGGCTTGAATTGTTTATAACTCTAATGATATAGTATCTTACAAGTCGAGTTGCTCGCACTATGTTACGGGTTTGATAGAATAAAATCATTTTAAAATTTTTTAATTATAATTTTTTATTCAATAATTTTTTTCTAGTATTTTTTTATAAATTTTTTTCTTAAAAAAAATATAAATCATTCTTCTTTAAGGATTGATTTTAACTAAAATATTAATTGAGAATTAAAAAAATTAAAATATATTTTTTATAATATTGTATTCCAAAAAATAAAGTTATAATTTATGGATAGACATTTATAAAAACTAACAAATGAAAAACAAATGCCTTATTTAATGCCGACGAGAAAATTAATTTTTGAAATTATCCCCGCAACGCTGTGAGTAGATAAAAAAAATCATTTCAAAATTTTATAATTTTTCATTAATTTTTATTTAATTATTAATTTTTTTTGTTTTTCATAAAATTTCTGCTTAAAAAAATGATTTATTCTTCTTTATTTAGAGATCCTTAAATAAAAACTTGTAATAATTTAAACCTAAAATATTAATTAAGAATTCAAAAATAAATAATTTAAAAATATATTTTTTTATAAGAATATATCCAAAAATTAAGTTACGATTAATGTATAGACTTGCATAAAAATTAACTAAGGAAAAAATAAAATTTTATTCTTATTTAATGTTGATGAGAAGGTTATTTTTTTAAAAGTATATGCATGTGATCTATATATATTTATTTATAAAATAATAAATAAAATTAGCATAAAAAACAATATTTGTATGATTGGTTAGTTCCCTTAAAAATTATTTCAATTATTTTATTTCAAATAGATTGATTTTATAATGTAAAAAAAATTCATTGTAAATAATTTGTATTATGTTAGAAGATATATAGTTAATTTTTAATAAAAACAATGATTCAATAGTTTTTTTTATACGTCTTGGCATACTTAGTGAACTGATACAAATTATTTGAAATACACTTTTAACATTTTTAGAATCATTCACATATATATATATATATATATATATATATATATATGCAACTATCGTTTAAAAATTCTAAGAATTCATGATATATATTATCCAATTTATTTTTAAAAAAAAAAATAATCATGTTTTAAAATTTTATTCTAAAATTCAAACATAGAGTAAAATAAATTATATTTATTAGTAAATAAAATTATATATAAAATTTTAATTGGGTGAGAATTTTCATAAAAAATGACAAATTCAAATAATGAAATTTAAATAATATAAGTAATATAAGTTGAAGTATTTGTTAATTTTAAAAAATAATATATATATTGTATTTGAATTATTAAGCGGTTATTCTAAAATATTATTTTAATTATTTTATTTGAAAAAATTAATTTTAAAAGATAAAAAAAATAATAGCAAATAGTAGGTATATTGTGCGTAAATGTATAGTTGATTTCTAGTAAAATCAATGACTCTATTATTATTATTATTATTTACACATCATAACCGTACTCAATGGATGAGAATGTATATTATAAATGAAAAATATTTTAAAAACTTAAATTATAAAATATATATTAAAGTTAATAAAGTGCAATAAAAACTATAAAATTGATTGCGATAAAATTTGATTATATAAAAAATAGAAAAATAAAATACATATATTCTATTTTTAAAATTTGATTATATAAGAATTAAGCAAATAAAAACTAGTATAAAACAAACTTATTCGAATCCATACATAGAGAAAATAAATCATATTTATTAATAAATAAAATTATATAAAAAATAAGAATAAAAATTAACTTCATGAGACTTTTTATAATAAATCAAAAAGATCAATTTTAAACAATAAAAGTAGTATATATTTATTCTAAAATATAAAAACATATCTTATATATTATATAATTGTTAGTTTGTTTGGAAAAAAGTAACAATTGATTTTTAAAAATTTTAACACACAATTAAATTACAAAAAGAACATAAATTGATGAAAAAAAACAAAAAAAAAACTAAAGAAAAAAAAAGACATATAGTGCATCAGCTAGGGATTAAAATTTTTATTTTAAACTATTAATGACAAAAAAAAATAATTTAAAAATTACCAAAAAAAAACCTAAAAGTGAATAGTACGTGTGAGTAGGGGTGAGCAAATGGTTCGGTTAACCGAAAATCGAATCAAATCGAACCGAATTATGTATTTTGGTTCGGTTTTAAACTTAAATTTACAAAATTAAAAACCGAACCGAAAAACCGAAATTATTTCGATTCGGTTCGGTTTTTGAAAAAAAATTTGGTTTTCACCGAAAACCGAAAAAATTAAAAGCAAAAAAAAAAAAAAAAATTTTTTTTTTAACCCTAATTGGCTAACTTCATTGAATCAAAATCAATTTTTAGCGGCGCCTCCCTAGCTCCCTATCCTTCACTCCATCTTCTCCGATTCTCCTTCATCATCACTTCATCGAGTCGGAGGAGGCATTCATGAATTCTAAGATTCTTAATTTGGTTAACTATCAATTGAAAAAATTAAATAAAGTTGATGACTAACTCGCAATCAATTGTCTTTTACAAGTTTAGTTGTTTCTTTGCAAGACAATCAAATGAAATTAACTTACTATTGCAAGATGGTTTTAAGTCTCTATGAGCTTGAATTTTACAAACCGAAAGAAAACTGTTTTAATTTTTTTTCTACCGCACAAAATTGCTCATGAAAATCTTTTAGACTACATTTTTTAGTGGGAATGATGATTGTAAAATTATTAGGGATGTTATACATATTGGTAACCTTTACCTTGCTTTATATATCTTGTTATGATAGTAATTGATGTTGGAAAATTATAATCTTCAACGGTGACTAATTCGGTCTAAAATTTTGTTTCCTGCGGTTCATTCCCAATGGCTTTTTAACAAGATAAGCAAGGAGATCATAGAGATCAAATTAAGAATTAGGATGTTGTCGGTGCTTGATGAGTTCGGAATAAGCAAAAGAAGGAAGACAACTACATTTTTTTTCTTCTCTCATTTAGGACATTCGAGTGTGTCAACTGTGATTAGGTAGCTGCAAAAGATATTTCCTATGTAAGAGCTTTGTTTTCTTATTGTGATTAGGTAGCTGCAAAAGATATTTCCTATATAAAGGCTTTGTTTTCTTATTGTCTTTTTTTTTTTAATAATAAATGGTGAAAATGATGGTGGCTTAGGACGGATAATGAAACAATGGTCTAGAATTTTTTTTCAGTAAAACATTTCGGTTAAAACCGAAATATTTTGAAACCGAACCGAAATAATTTGGTTACAAACCGAATTTACCGAATTTATTTTGGTTCGGTTTTGGTTTTTATTTTCCTTGATTCGGTTAACCGAAAACCGAACCGAATCGTACAAAACCGAACCGTTTAACCGTTTGCTCACCTCTACGTGTGAGGAGGTGAACATTGTTGCTACTTGTTAAAAACCTCTCATGTGTTTTAGTGTATTAGTAAAATTTTAAGGACTAAAACGAAATAATTTATAAAAAAAAAAAAAAAAACCTAAGAGTGGATAGTACATTGTGAAGGTAACACCCAATTAAATTTTTTTTAAAAAAAGTAAATTGATGGGGAAAAAAATCAAAGAAAAAAAGGAAAAGAAAAAGCATGTAGTGCATCGGTTAGAGATTAAAATTTTTATTTTAAAAGTTTAGGGATCAAAACGAAATAATTTAAAAATTACAAAAAAAAAAAAGGAAACTCGAAAGTGAATAGTACATTAAAATTAAAAAAAAAAAAAGCGTAAGAGTGAATGGTACATTATAAGGATAACACTCAATTAAATAAAAATAAATTAATTAATAAAAAAAAACATGTAGTATATCAATTAGGGATTAAAATTTTTATTTTAAACTTTTAAAGACTAAAACAAAATAATTTAAAAATTATAAAAAAAGAATGAATAGTACGTTATGAAGAGTGAATAACATATAATAAGTACGAGAATTTGTGAGGAAAAAATGAAAGAGAATGAAGGGAAAAAAAAAAAAAAAAGAAAGAAAAGGAAAGGGTAAAATTAAAACCTTTTTAAAACACATAGGTGCGGTATTAAAATGTTTAAAAGTGTAAGGGTTGAAGTGGGCATTAGTGAATCTATAGGGTCGCAGAATATAGCAGGAGTAGGAGCAACCGTAGGGGATTGCGGACGTTGAAATGGAGAAGAAGCCAAGAAGAAGAGGAAGAAAGAGCGAAGAGACCAAGTCAATGAGTAATGACTTTGACCTGAAGAACGAAAGCAAGGTAGTTAAAAAGAGAATGGCATTGATTTTTCTTTTCCGTGGTAATGATGATGATGAAGCGAGCAGTGTTGAATTCTCTATAGAGATCGATCCGTCCATCGATTGATTGATGATTCACGGCAAGATGAAGACGAAGATGATTATGAATCCAAATCTACTTCTTCCTCTGTTGATTATTATAATCGCCAATGGATGCGATGGTCGGGTTTTTGATTTACCTCGAAAATTAACGATTCAAAAATTACAAAAATTTCAGCATGAATCTCCAGAGGTAACTCGATTTCTATCTTTGTAGAATTTACGAAACAAATCTCCATAATCTGTTTAAGTTAGTTAATGATTTCTTGATTTGTGTGGGGGTTTTTGTTTTAGAGCTCTCCCATGCCTGCTCCTACAGCATCGAATTTGGATAATTATTTTATTGAAACGGATGAGAGGTGTTCAATTTCAATGAAAACAAGGAGCTGTCAGGAGCTGAGTAATAATATCACTGCTTGCCTTCTTTCTTCAAATACCTGTGAGTATACTTCTACTGCTAATTTGGACCTTGTTTTTTTTTTAACTCACTCGATGAATTCTGTTTTTATTCCTGCTTTTGTTATAATTTCTTAAACTAATTACAGTTGAAAGAGTTTTATATAATTTTTCCAAAACTAGGGAGAGGAAGCTCAGAAATTCCATTCACTTGTCTTAAAATGAATAACGATGATAGCTCTAAGCATTTAAGTTTGGCTGGCATAAGAATGCTATACAACACAGTAACCATTCTCACAATGATTGATCACGCAATTGTAATTTGTAAACCTCGGGAGTTCATTGGAAGTAAGTTTATTTACATGTCTTCATTGAAAGAAAAACTAGAAATTTTTGGTTGATAGGTGATAATGGGTTCTTCTATTTCTCGAGAAACAATTTATTCAAGATTACCTTCAATCTATCCATTTCTTGGTGTGTTAGAACTTGAATCTTTCTTCTCACACATATATGTGCTATGCTTCATTTCTTCTTTTTAAAATTATTTACTTTAAAAAAGTCCCCTTTTAGTTTTGGACTGATATTTCTTATCTTTGATCTGCTTCCCCTTAGAAGATGCAGCAGGTTAAGCTATTTTCTCTAAGTTAGGCCTTGGTGATTTATTTCTTATGAGGAGAATCATAGAATGGGGGAAAAAAACATTCTTATGATCTCATCCACAATTCAATTTGACCACTTTCTTATCTTCATGATACCTTTTGAGTTGAACAAACACCAATCTTAAGGTTCTAAACTTTTATCATCTAAAAAAATAAAACTTGGCCTACAGAAAAACTTGGAAGGTTTGCTAAACAACCTTTTTTTTGCCAAAGCCTTTAGCTGATTTCAAAGAGATTAGAGAGTTTTTTTTTGTTTTTTTGGTTGTTTTATGTTTGCTTGGATGATGCTTTATCCCCGCCCCCCCCCCCCCCCCCCCCAAACAAAAAAAAAAAAAAAGAATTGTATCTATTTTTTTTTATTTTTTTACATAATTACTTTATTAAAAAGAAGTGTAAAACAGGACCATGTTCCAGCATAACTCAAAAGTTTTTGAGATAATTCATTGTAGTATGTTGCATGTAGCATCCTTTAGAACTTAGGAAGAACAAGAATACCACAGTTGAGAAGAAAATGTTATCCTTGTCGTATGGATGAAAAAAAAAAGATGAGAGAAGCAAATATTTGCTACATTATTACACAATTTTATTTGGAGAGGAATTTTCTGTGTGATGCATTTCAACGGCTTCAGTGACGGGTTAGATTTTTCTTTCGCTCGCTCCTTTGATTTATTTTCCCCCATTTTTTCCTTTGTTATTCCTCTTTGACCTTGCATTCAAATCTGCACCACAGTGCCTAACATGACTAAAGTGACAACCACAGTGCATAAGCCAATTCCCTTAAAGTTCTAGCTTGGGAACAATAGAGCAACAAGTGAGTGACAAATTTCAGTAGCTTCTTACAAAGATACTGCTGATATTTGAACGCTATTCCTTTCTTTTTTTCATCTGTGTATTTGAATCTTTCTTTCACAGATAATCAACAGTCAAACTCTTTCCCCTAGCAGAAAAGGACACACTAGATGACACTATGGTCTCCCACATGGTTCTCCAAGTGAAGTCACTATGCCACTCATTGCAATGATTGTTACATTAACTTTGTGGAATAATTTCAGATGGAAAACACCATTGTTAAAAAATCCCCATCTTGCCCATCATTCTCCAAATTCACCACCATGTTGCAAATGGTGTAAAAGAAATTGCATCTTAGTACATAGATTATTAGTTATGGTTTAGGAAATCTGTTGGTCATTTTGATTTATAATTATTATGATACAGGGTTTGGAATCTCACTAATTGAGTCAGTTGACTTTTGAAGTGAATGCTGCATGTTAATGATAGAAATTCTTCCTTGAGTTCTGCATGTAGAAGAACTGCATTGGTCCGTCTCAAACTTAATGATTTTATTTCATTTCTCTGTGTTGTGCCCTTACATTTACTCCAAGTACGTGCCTCTTAAATTTGTCACTCTATTTGCTAATTTAACTTTCTTCCAGCTGTTTTCATTTGTTTTCTCAAACATGATTTGTAATGTCTTCTTTATGTATGAAAAGGTGGCATTTTGATGAATTTGCTACAGGAAAAGACAGCATTTTGATCTATTTCCTATAAGAAGACTGCATTTTTTTGCCTTGCAAAGCTCATTTCCACTTAGTTTTTTAATGTATTGGATTTGCTTTTTCATCTATACTGTTCATTCCTCATGCCTTACCGAGTAAAACTAAAGTGCTCTTTTTTTCTGATGTAGCCCCTGGGGAATTGTTTCTTCTTGTCCAGAATGATGGAGAGGGCCTCCTAAAAGTAAATTTTAGGATCTCAGATATTAAGGTTACTTTCCCAGAGATGCAATTACCCAAACACCATGCCAAAAAGGTTCAGTTTCTCAACATTGTAATTTAATTTTTTGCATTTACTTGTGCTTTTCAGAAGTGGGACATGTCTTGGTAGGAAGACACTGGGAGTTGTATTTGACATCTGATGTAATGGGGGGTGGATTATAGAGTAGGAAACAAAGAAACTGTTGTAGCTTGCAGAAATACTGATTCATGTATGAGCAACCTTTGTAGAATCAAGTGAGCCTCTTCTGCATATTGATCTTTGGTTAAGACCTTTGATTTCTATTAATGATTTCTTTTCCAATATATAGCTTTTATTTGACAAGTCATATTTCCCTCTTTGTTCAGATCAATATCTCAGAAAATGTTGAAGGAAGTCCATCCATCATATTAAATGCTGGAAATGGGTCATGCATAATTGACATGGGATACCTGGAACCAAAAGGCGAATATAAGCCGTTCTTTGTCTATGACAGCCATTTATCCCCCATTTATGGAGCCTACTTATTGTTTTTGATAGTTTTGATTGCTGGAGGGGCTTGGGCTTGCTGCAGGTTGCTGAAAAGCGAACGGCATGTTGATGGAGTCCCATATCAGGAACTCGAAATGGGGCAGTCAGACTGCCATTCAGCTAATAATGTGGAAAAAGCTGAAGGGTGGGATGAAAGTTGGGATGATGAGTGGGATGAAATAAAAGAAGAGAAACCACCAAATGGACATCAAACAGCAAATGCTTTACCAAATGGCATTACTTCCAGGAACTCTGATACAGATGGACGGCAAAAAGGTTGGGATGATTAGGGAAATAATAGAATTATATAGCTTTTCCATTGCCTAAGAAAATGGAAAAAAGAAACTTGACATAGATTTTACATGTAGAAACTTTACGTGTTTCTGCCAATATGGAAGCAGATCGAGAATTAGATAATTGAAAAACAGTTTCGGGACATTAAATTTTTAAATCCACAAGGAAATATTATTTTCATAATTTTTGTTCTTCGAAGTTAGATCGTTGGTTTTCTAGTCTTTGGTGTGCAGAATGCTCTATCAAAATACTATTTGACCTACCAGAATGGTTTCCTTTCCCCATCTCCTTTGTCTCTTTCAAATCCTGCTGCCATTGACAATCATTTTATGCCAAAAACTCAAAATGCTTCGTAGTAATAAGTATATATTGAGAAATCAATCTCCGTTTGTTTTGCAGGTAAGTTTTTTTTTTTTTTTCCCCATACTTTTCTATGTTTGGCATGGCTGGAAGAATGGGTCAGAAGAATTTATATACCGAGCGTACTCTCATGTGAGGAAATTTGTTTGTTTGACTATTCTTAAAAGAGAAAAACATATTCTCAAGAGGATTTAAAAGCTTTTCTTTTTTTTTTCTTTTTTTTTAGTGGTACTTTTGCCATATATATATACACACACACCATTTCTTTTGCAGGTAAGTTTTTTTTTCCCCGTACTTTTCTAGATTTGGTGTGGCTGGAAGAATGGGTCAGAAGACTTCATTTATCAAGTCTATTTTTACGTGAGGAAATTCGTTTCTTTGCCCCCATTCTGAAAAGAGAAAAACATATTCTCATTTAAAAGCATATCTTATGTTTTTTACTTAAAACAAGTAACTTTAACCATGATACACAAATCAAACCATAAGCCCTAATCTTTCTCAATATTAACCGAATATACCTTTAACCTAAACTAGGTGGGTTTTTCAATTCTAATGTCAATTTTTCATGTTAAATCATCTATATATACTTTAATAACATGAATTTAACCAATTAAACATCCATAGATTAATTACACTTAAACCCTAATTTCGGGCCTATTAGGCCAAATCTTCTCCTAGAGTAAACTAAGTTATCTTTTTTATACTATACTAACTTGAAATTGATCAACCAAACCATTATAAACCAAAAGCATTAAAACCCTAATTTTCACCTAAATTAGGCCGAATGTAGGCTTAAGGTAACTAGGTGAAATTTTTAATTTTTATGTAATTTCTCATGCTAAATCATCCATTTACACTTAAATAACACATAATCAAACAATAATTTATCAAATGAACCAATGGATCAAAAATCCTAAATTTGCCAAATTGAGTCGAATGTTTCACAAATGATCAAGCTAAGAAATTCTTATTTCTAACACATATTTTCATGCTCAATTAATGTATTCTAACTTCAATTGTATCAATTTTACCTTTAATTCCATTTTCCTAATTTTCTTTCATTAAGAAGCCTAACCCTAATTTTCAAAATTTATGCAATTAAGCTTAAATAAATTAGGCAAAACAATCAATTGACATCAATTAAATATTCTTTGTGATGTAGGTGAAGTTAACTTACCTATAAAGCTCCAAATTACTCCTTGAAAGGTTGGTTTTCTTAGCAAATTTTCCTTCCTCCTTTTCTCCCAAACTTTTGGCCAAGTCTTCAAATTCCACCCCCACCCACCCACCCACACACACACACACACACACACACACACACACACACACACACACACACACACACACACACACCCCCCCCCCTCTCCCCCCAAAAAAAAAATTTTTTGAGCTTCCAACTATGATTCTAGGTTTAATAAAGTGTTTTAAGGTTGGTTTAAGTGTTTAGGTAAAAATTTTGGTGGAATTCTATGAAACTTTTGCAAGAATTTCCCCTAAATTTTCTAATTTTTCTAACATTTTCCTACACCATTTTCACCCATATATATAGGTAAGCTTGGTTGGACTTTCTCCATATTTGACTTGATCTAAGCCCTTTATTTGGTTTAATCCTAGCCCTTCATTTTTTTAAATCTTGGCCTCCCATTTTTCTTTAAATATTAACGATCCATCTAGCTTAATCTTAACCCTTCTTTTTGTCCTAGTTAACCCTCATTAATTAAACCTAATCATGGAGACCTAAGTGGCGGCAAAATGGGGAGAAAAATCTCTCCAAAATTGTTTAATTTTATTCCCTCAACTTAATGAATTTTCCTACTTTTACTCTTCCATAAGCCCTTTAATTATTCAATTGCTTCCATTAGACCCTTTCTTTAAGGCTTTTGTAATAAATTTTTACTTCCTTAAATTCATTCCTAATTTAATTTGAAAGTTGAAACTATTAATTTTATGCAATTAGGTCCCTAATTCTATGCAATTAAGTCCCTATCCATGCATAATTTGTTCTACACCTTTTCGAAAAGTAATTTCTTTTCATACTAAATTTAAACACCTCCTATAATAATTTATTCATCATTAACATAATTTTATACACTTATTTAAGCCCTCAAATTAATTATCTTGTGTAAAAATGCACTTATTTGAAAGTTCAAACTTTTAATTTTATGCAATTAGGTCCGCATCCATGCAAAATTTATTCTACACCTTTTCAAAAATTAATTTCTTTTCATAATAAATTTAAACACCTCCTATAATATTTTATTCATGATTCACATAATTTTATACCCTTATTTAAGCCCTTGAATTTATTATCTTGTGTAAAAATGCACTTATTTCTATAGAAAATATTCCCTAAGCATAGAAAAATTCACCTAAGTGCATGGAATATTCCTACATCTCTTTAATGATTTTTCTGTGCCTATTGGGTAATTTTCATGCACATTTAAAACACTAAAAATAAGTAATTTGCATAAAAGGCATTATTCATGCAATGAAAGGTCACACGAAATATTCATTAAACATCAAAAAATTCACCCAATGACACATAATAATTTAGCACTCCTCTAAAAAACATTCTATGCAAAGAAAATAATTTTTTCATGCACAATTAACATGCTTGAAATAATTATTTTCCATAACAAGGTACTATTCATGCACTCGGATAACCAATAAAATATTCATTAGGCACGTGAAAAATTATTCTAAGCACACCAAATATTCTAACAACCTATTAGTAATTATCTTAGACCCATGAAATAGTTTTCATAGATCCTTAATATATTTTAATTCATTAAATAATGAGTTCGGGGTATTACGGCTTCCATGGCTAGTTCTCTATGAGTTAGGTTGGAGTAAGGAATGACTCCACCATAGGCATTCTTAATCCTATTGTGAATTCTTTCTACAAATAGAGGGAAAAGCCCATAGATGAATTTCTTTTTCTAGTAATCGGCTTTGTAGTCTTACCTTGTCATGACTTTGATGAAGAACACATCCTTGTAATAGCGAAGTGTGACAAGGTTGGACATTTAAGATTCATTAGTTTTTCCTAAGATCCGTTGATTTTGAAAGGCATTTGTGCCAATGAAGTGGGCTGCAATCGTGTAGATTAAAGTGTTGATTGCATCCGGCCCCACCTTTTTTCTAATGCTTCATTAGCATTAGCGACAGTAACTTCTTTTACTATTAAGAGGATTTCTTTTTTGACTCGGTCCGATAGGTAGAAACCCCACCATTCTTGAAGTTATCTAGTGAAATCGTTGGTAATTATAGTAACGGTTTCCCTGTTTCAATTGCCTTTAAGAGTCACAATTGTAGAAAACATAAGCATGCATTTTACTATGGTTTTAATTTGATATTTTGACATGCCGTCAATGTTTCACTTTTGGATAGAGTCTCTCCGGCAAGAAATTAGATTGTGATTTCCTACTTTAAATTATAGATCCATAGGAGAAGGCCTAGGGTAATAGTAGTTTGCCTGTGAGACCAAAATTGCTCCTCTCTATGCCAATTTATTAACTAACTACGGCTCAAAGTAAGCTTTTTGTTTTGATAAAAATGTCCGCTCCACTTCATCTAAACATGAATTGAGTTCATAGATTTTCCTTTTGAAACTTTCAGTTTCTTAAGGCGTCCTACATTTCATAAAGTTATCATCTTTATATGACAGTTTGTAATCATCTTTTTTGAAAAGATGAACTAGTTTTAACATAACAAAGTCTTGTGTTTTTTGGAAGACTCTCCTTTGTTGATAGCAACCTTTTTAAGCTACCGAATAGATTGCTCTATTATGGAAAAGGTAAGCTTTTTAAGTTGCTGAATAGAATGCTTTATTCTATTTGCATGCTGCCATGTGACTAGAGGTAAAGGTTGGTGTCGTTGTTTTGTTAGATAATTTGGTTGGCAAAATCATCTTTTACCTCGGTTTTATAGGGAGTTGCTGAAGTAGATTTGTCACCTTTAAAAATTAGGAGAGAAGACTCGGGAGAGTGTATGATTTTAATGGGCCTTGCTTGAGTTTGGTAGCTTTGGTAGGTGCTTTTAGGGTTGCTAGAAAATTAGTATCTTTGAAATCTAAGTATGGTTTGTTGTTGTATTTAAACATTTGTCTTAGTCACTTAAAAAAGTTAACCCTATTCAGAGTTATGGAAACATGTTCTATTTACTTTTTCAAGCAATAGTTTTGTTTTTTAAAACTATTAGGAACCATTTCTTATGATGATCCTTTTTAGGATCATTAAACATCTTCTCCATATATGAAGAGGGAATATCATTTCCATGTTGTGAGGTGGTCGTATATAGCCAATGTCAAACATTGTTGGTGAAGAAGACCTACTTTTAGGCCTAGACAATACTTCTAATGTAGCTAAATCAACCTTGTATTGAGGGTGACTCACCTAAGATCCGGACTTATTTAGGTCGAAAACCGACTCATTTTCTATCTTTGATATAGGGATAGAAAAGGTTGAGAACTTAGAGGATGAGATACTAAAATGATTACCAAGGTTTAGTTTAATTTTTCTAGAAGGAGAAAATGAAATTTTTATGTCACCATTAAGGAACTGGGTAATCTTCTCAAGCTCTTTAGGTTCTTTTTTTTTTGTAGGAGGAGCTACATGTTCTTTCAAGTCTCTACTCT